CTGGAAAAAAAAGTAATCAAAGATTTTAGTTTTTCTTATGAAGAGAGAAAGAAAAAGATTTCAACTTAATTCTAGAAAAAAAAAAAAAAAAAAAAAGATTTGACCCTATTCTGAAAAAAAAAAAAAAAAAAAATTTGACCCCATTATGAAAAAAAAAAAAAAAATTTGACCCCATTCTGAAAAAAAAAAAAAAAAATTTGACCCCATTCTGAAAAAAAAAAAAAATTCTGAAAAAAAAAAAAAAAAGTTTCACCTCGATTCTGTTTGTTTTGTTTTACAGAATATCAACCTCAGTGGGTCATTTAATGCCGATGACTTTTTTTTCTTTCCAATAATATTTTGTTTTGTTAGAAATCAATTTCTATCAATATTTCTTTCCTCAAAAATATATAGCTGGTAATAGTATTTTTCCAAAAACGTATAGCTGGTTATAGTATTTTTCAAAAAACTTATACCCATAGACGTGGATGCAGTTTACTGTCATACCATGGACGTACATGCAGTTTACTGTCATACCCATGGACGCAGATGCAGTTTACCGTCATACCCATGGACGTGAGTGCAGTTTACTGTGATACCCATGGATACGGATGCAGTTTACCATCATACCCATGGAAGCGGATGCAGTTTACCATCATACCCATGGAAGCGGATGCAGTTTACCATCATACCCAGGATGTGGGCTAGACTGGGAGTTCACTGTTTGTCCATAGCTGGGATCCTAACAGGTGCTACCACCCCGGGTCAGGGTGGACCTGGGAACACCAGCAATTAAGAGGTGGTTCCATGCTCCCCAAAATCTCCTGATTAGAGGCCTTGCTGTTGGAAGCAGTTTAACATCATACACAGGACGAATCTCGATTCTGGAAAAAAAAAAAGGTTCAACATGATTCTGAAAAAATGTTTCTCAACTGCAGTTCAGCGGCAGTTTGAGAAGATTTATGTCTGCTACGCAGCTCCAATGCGTAGCACAATTTATGCAAGGTTCTCGAAATAGGATCTGTTCTTGACAAACCATGCAGCGAAAGGCATGCTACTACCACTAATGATGAAAACACCAATTTCCTGGAGTAGGTGCTCATGCAAGGCCAGGGAAAGTCCATTTGGAGAGCTGCATGGGAACTCAGCATCAACAAAAGCCTGTTTCAGTGATTGCTTCAGAAAGTGATAAAGCTCTACTTGTATTGATTTCAGGTTGTTCAAATGCTTCAAGTAAAAGATTATGATGATTGTGTGAAAATGTATGAATTACTTTTCTACCATTACTTGAACAACCCTCAGCCCTTGGAAAACTTATAATTCATCGACAAGTCTATCTTTCATCTCTCTGGTCAGATAAACTGACACAACTGTCAAATTTAGGGAAAATCAAACCCAGCAGAAATTCTCAAATATGAATGAGAGTCTCTTAAGCTGGTAGTATGGTGTGCCACTTCTACCACTGGGTTGATTAGAAAATTTTTCTTCCACAAGCATCCAGTAACATGACCGTAGTTACAGGGGAAAATTACCTGAAGATACTGCAGGAGTTTGCTGTGCCACAACTTCAGACGACGAGTGAGGTTTGCTAAGGTCTTTTTTCAACAAGGTAAGTCCCTCTCCACTTTGCCAGGATAGTGAGGGCTTTCCTGAGCATCAAGTTTCCTGACTGATGGATTGGTTGAAGGAGTCGTCTCGAATGAGTTCTGTGCTCTTTTGATCTTTTCTTTGGGGCTATATCAAAAGCAAGGTGAATACAACTAAGCCCCATGACCTGTCACAGCTTGTGGAAATAACCTGCACAGCCTGCAGCAGGGTCAGAGAAGAGATGCCACAAAACACTGGAGAGGCTTGCATCGGAAGGTGGCTGAAGGTTGTCGAAAGTGGAAGTACTCATGTGGATGTATAGAGCTAGTCATCAAGACATTGGAACATGATGGTAAGTATCTGTCTATATTTCTGAGATGATGTATCATGTACACTATTTACATTAATCGGACTATTGTGCTCATCTTTGTCGCCATATTTATTACGTTTCGGCCGTTGTACACTCCGGCCTTTTCAGGTTGTTGGAATGTTGAACTGAACCCTTTATTTCGCTCACTGAGTAGACTGTTCTAGTTCCACATGCCATGTTTAATGGATGTCAGTTATCAGTTATCTCCTGTTAATTCCCCTCTTCAAGTTCTCTACCACCTTAAACAGGTATTGAACTCACACTCTTTGGGTCTTGTCACTGGATCTAATGCCTTTATCCACTGTGCCATGTGTTCTTGAGGAACTAGAACAGTCTACCCCAGTGAACGAAATAAAGGGTTCAGTTCGACATTCCAACAACCTGAAGTAGGCAGGAGCATACAACGGCCAAAACGTTGTAATAAATATGGCGACAAAGATGAGAAAAATAGTCCAAATAATGTAAATAATGATGGTAAGTATAGCAAGTAAATCGGTAATGACTCTTTTAGTGATTCTAAAAATATGAATACACTCAGTATCTTGTGTAATTCTTATGAATTTGTTAAACGTGTATAGCCACTTTTGGGGAAACGTGTATATTCAACAGGTGCTTCTTTGCTGATTTTATTCCTTTTTGATTTAATTTCACCAATTTTATTTTCCAAACCACTAAACATTTACACAATCTCACTCTGCGACAAACTTAAATTACTTTTTATGTCTGAATTTCTGGAATAAAGAGTTACCATTATTTATCTGCGGACCAAGTAATCTTCATGAAACACTTTATTTAATCTCTGGAGGAAGATTCTTCTCATCCCACTGTGCATGTCTTGGGATATGTCATCTTGTACATATTTAGACTGCTCAATTACTGCTTGCTTTGTTTCCACTGAGTAAAAGTTCATACTAGTCAGCCCAGAGACTGAACTCACAATTACGATGCCACCAAATTAATGAACGAACACTTTAATCTGGGACCTTTAACCTAATGTCCTCCTTTATTAACACTGCTGTTATTGTTATGCTTGACAACTTGATTTTGTTACTGCTGCTGCTGCTCAAGCTTTGCTGTAACTTCTCTGACACCTAAAGAAGGCCAGAAGACATATAGATTGAAACGTTTTGATAACAATATCAAAGGTGAGGATTTTAGTTCAATCAATGTAAATAACTAAATTACTTTTTTCTCAAAATTTGATACTTTAAAAAAATCTGTATGTTGAGCAATTTGATTACAAGTGAAGAAAAGATATGAATAAACCAAGATGTGGTTTTACTAATGAATATGAATAACAGAGACAAAACATATGGAAATGAGCAAGTTTTAAGGAGAATAAAAACTACAAAGAAAAAAGTTGGAATTTTAGGAATGCATAACGAGGAAAGAAGGTTCGGAGAATTTAACACCTACAGGGTACATCAAAAGCAAGAGAAGTAGAGGAAAGCAGCAAATAATCTACTTGACTCTTTAAGCAAAATCGACAAAGGAACAAGTATCACAAAGATAGAAACAAGTAATAAAGGAGAAAGTATTGCTGAGAGCAACAAAAGAGAGGACGTCAGGGAGAACCATGATCATTCATATCTGGATACATAGAAAAGGGAAGAGAATCTAGTTGATAAATTTGAACAAATAGACTGAGGAACAAGTAGTACAAAAACAAAAATATATCCTAAAGGAGAAATAATTGATAAGATCAACAAAAAGTAGGAGGCTGCGAAGAATCATGATCAACATGACACATAGAAAGCGAGAGAGAAGAAACAAGTGTCAATAAGAGAAAGAAAGATTGTAAAGGAGAAGGTATTGCTAAAAGCAACAACAGAACAGAAATTCTGAAGAGCCATGATCGCCCAAATCCTGAAAGCACACGCCATCAAATACCTCAGCATATGGATCAACTATAATAAATTAAGTATAAGAGAAAAAGAAATTGAACATAGAAATTTGGCCTTCTCTATATCTTTTGTAGGGGAGGTGTATTGTCCCTGCTCTGGCATCTCATCTACAGACGCGCAGTCGCCCCTCTCTGTCTATTTTACAAATGCTTTCATGGCAATTGCTCCGAGGAGCTGCATTCGCTGGTTCCCAGACTTCATGAGTTCAAGCGCCCTACAAGGCTGTCATCCCGCTCTCACCCCTTCACTGTCGAAACTCCTAAATGTAGCCATCTCTTCTACTCCAATATCTTCATGTCTCGCACCTCTCACCTGTGGAACTCCCTTCCCTATTCCAGTTTCCCTGAGAGCTATAATCTCCAGCTATTCAAGTGTAATCTCAATCGGCATCTCCAGTTGCCTTGATCTATCCACTATCCTTCTCCTCATCTTTTCTTGCTCCAAATTTTCTGTAACCTCTTATGTCCTAGTGGCTTCCTGTCTTGCTTGGGGTGAAACACTTAAAAAAAAGAAAAAAAAAAAAAAAAAAAAAAGAAAAAAAAAAAAGAAAGAAAGAAAAAAAAGAAAAGAAAAAGAAAAAAAAAAAAAAGAAAAAAAAAGAAAAAAAAAAAGAAAAAAAAAGAAAAAAAAAAAAAGAAAAAAAGAAAGAAAAAAAGAAAGAAAAAAGAAAAAAAAAAAAAGAAAAAAAAAAAGAAAGAAAAAAGAAAAAAAAAAGAAAGAAAAAAGAAAGAAAAAAGAGAAAAAAAGAAAGAAAAAAGAGAAAAAAAAAGAGAAAAAAAAAGAAAAAAAAAAGAAAAAAAAAAGAAAAAAAAGAAAGAAAAAAAGAAAGAAAAAAAAGAAAAAAAAAAAAGAAAAAAAAAAGAAAAAAAAAAAAAGAAAAAAGAAAGAAAAAAGAAAGAAAAAAAAAGAAAGAAAAAAAAGAAAGAAAAAAAAGAAAGAGAAAAAAGAAAGAAAAAAAAGAAAGAAAAAAAAGAAAGAAAGAAAGAAAAAAAAAGAGAAAAAAAGAAAGAAAAAAAAAAAAGAATAAGCCATGCCAGAGGTAGTTTCAACCAACACTGCAAATTGCTATGAAACCAAAACATCAACCTGAAAACTAGAGTAATGTTCTTAAATAGCCTTGTCAGATTGAGACTTTAATATGGATGTAATGCATGGTGCCA